CCCCAGCAATATTATTTTCTCAAAATTGCCTAGAAGGGTACCTCCTTATGTGGCCCGAGTCTATGGGTGTCGCTTCTTGGGCTTCTGGGTTGCTACAGTACTGTAGCTTCACAATAGCTTCACAGGACTTGAAGATGCGAACCAGTGCAACCACCTCCATAACGCCGCACTTCGACGATCGCTGCTTCCTGCTCAGCATGTAAGCGTCACAACCCGGAAGTCCCACAAAACATGCAACAGGATCATCCCGTCCAAAAGCCCCGGCAAAGTTGTACAACCACGCGTGTGGTCCTTGCATAGCGGACTTAGCTCGAAGAAGCAGCTACCTCGTTTTGCAAGGTTGAGGCTTAAGGTCTGGGATTGATGCAGGGTTACGGGCTTGGGCTTTCAATGCAAGTTTCGGACGTATGGGATTCTACGCTTTCCTACACAGACAGCAGCAGACAGAGAATGCTGCGAAGGCTGCACCATGAGCTCAGCAACTAAGCATGTCCAGCTTTCAGAGCTTTACAGTCTGGATGTGATGCGTTCCGATGCAAAGCCTTCTAGGTTTAACTTGTGCATTTTTGTTGAACAGAAACCGACAGCTCATCCACTGCAAGCCATGTAACGCACCAGACCAGCACAATTCTGCCAAAAGAATACGAAGCAGGATGGAAAACTTGGGCCTTTGCAACAAAAGCGTCAAGCCCTGAAGCCGACTTGTGCAACTAAACGTATTAACCCCAGTGCTGCAAGTCGGCTGCCTGAAGGCGTCCAGGTCTGAACGGCAACTGGGAAGACCAAGCCTGCTGAACTTGTTCCAGACTTTATTCGAAACACTGCATAAAGTTTGAGACCAGGTGAGGGGCAACATATGTTAGCCCCTTTTCGTACCATTGAAATGATGCCGCGTGCAATCTCAACAGTGCACCAACATTGGCATCTATCGCGTACTGCGTCCGTGTTCCGCTTTTTGCGAAACACACTTTCTTGGTTCTAATGATGACTGAAAACGTCTCACCTGCAGCGTTGCAGTTGCAGAAGCGTCCTTTCACCGGAACATGCGCTTCCTGTGAAAGATGTGCTTTGATAGGTGTCGGGAAATGGGAGAGCTAGGAATCAAAAACAAAGCGCAACAAGCACAAAAACATAAACCTGCCCAGAGATTTTCTTCAAAAATTCTGAATATTTAGAATTTTGTTGGCCTCAGCAAAACTACCCTCAACGAGAGAAGGAAAGCTCTTGCTCGGAACGTGAGGCTTTTGCAGTTCCGCCCGAGAATAAGTTTTGGAAGACATTGTCCAGAATGCTAAAATTGTAAATGTTGAACATAGAGACGACATGACCGAATGATTCTTGTGAACATGCTTAATTGTGGTTATGTGAAGTTCTTTTAGTTGCTATGTTGTGTACTTTGCCTTGTAAATAGAACGTTGAACTTCAGACTTTCTAAACTTACGATTCTAGACCTCAAAAAACTGCAGGAGAAACATGTTCGCGTCGCACCAAAAACTGGACCAACACCAACCAGGACCCAGCTTGGATGACAGCGCAGAAGTGCAGCCGACTGTTCAAAGAGGACTGGAAGCAACCCTGAGCTTTCGACCTGAGAAACTTAGGGTTCAGGAATTAAGGGAGCCTCTGCCTCCACCCTGCCGAGCGCCAGAAACCTACGCTGCGAACCAAGGTCTCGTCATTGAAAGCCTGCAGTGCTCGTATCAGAATGCTGTCAGCGCAGGGTGCTTGGGGACATGAGCTTGTCGCATAAAAATGGCTTGTGCCTAAATCCGGAAGGGGGATCCAAGCCTGAAACGATCCATCCTGTCCTTGAACATGTAACATTTTACGGCCGATGGTGTGAGATCTTCTGAGGAGGATGCGACACTGCAGCCGACACAACCCTAAGAGCTTTCTTAATGCAGAAAGCACCTCCCTTCACAAGCAGAAAATTGCTAAGGATTGTCTTATAAGGCGTCGGCAGGAAGAACGCTACTCCAAGGGCAAGGTCAAGCACACAAGACGTCAGCAAGAGTGAGAAGGGAACGCCCATTGCTCTCCGTCGAGAGTTCTGCAATGTCTTACGCGAAAAATGCTGGCGAACCCCAAATACCACAACCAGATAACGGCTGCTTCACGGAAAGTAAGACTAGTCTTGAATTGAGTTAAACGAATGTTCTGCAAACCAAAAGACAAATTCGTCGGCAGGAAGAACGCTAGCTCCAAGGGCAAGGTCAAGCACACAAGACGTCAGCAAGAGTGAGAAGGGAACGCCCATTGCTCTCCGTCGAGAGTTCTGCAATGTCTTACGCGAAAAATGCTGGCGAACCCCAAATACCACAACCAGATAACGGAAAGTAAGACTAGTCTTGAATTGAGTTAAACGAATGTTCTGCAAACCAAAAGACAAATTCAACTGCCTACGTTGCTGGACCCACCCTCATCGACGCGCTTGTTGTGGCCGCATCCACCGACAGCCTCAGGTTTGTCATGGCGTCCTAAGAAGTATGTGCTGCCAGCAGTTGTAAACACCACCTTCGGCAATTGCATGTGAAGGTCCATAGAAATTCAACTGCTTGCGAACATGCAGCTGCTTTCGCGTCAAGTCCACACTACTTCTGTTGCTCCTGAGCAACTTTACAGAGATTCAGCACAAGGTCCTACACCCTAAAAACAGTGGGCCCTAAGCCCGAACCTTTGGAAGGAATTGGGCCTAGAGTGTCTTTTCGCAAGAGCCACAAGAAACGGATCTCGGCCATGGGGATTCGGTATGGTGAAAAGCGGGGTATGGATTGAAGACATCATGCTTCGACTTAAACAAAACCTTAGGCTTTGTGCCGAGATTCAACTCTTGCAGGAGATGCGGAATGCTGTCGAAACCTGGGGCTCACAGTCAACTATGAACTTTAGACCTTAGATTGTGTTTCAGTTCGCTTAAGGATAGCCCGCTAGCAATAAGGAATACTCCGATGAGTTGGCCATCATTGATTCGCACGATGCCAGAACACGGGTGCCACTATCTTGAGCAAAGTTGGTGCTTCCGTCATAGAACTCTCAGATTAAAAGTCGAAGGTCCAGCGTTCGCCATTTCTGGCGCTTGTTGCTTTACGTGCCGGGGTTTGGGGCCGCCTCCCAAAAACTGCACCACGCATGACATGAACACAGCTTCTCGACACCTGGCACAAAGAAAGCACTGCCCTTCGATGTGTTGGAAATCGCATGCATCGAAAAATATTGCGTGTATCGATATAATTTTGGGCAACTGACCCCAACTAAGCACTGTAACTAGCAAATGCCGAGACAAGCAGCTTGTCGGTTTTGTGCTCTAACATCCGTCTGGAGGGTAAGGCAGCAGAGCCCGCGGAACCCTGGAACACGCAATCAGTCCAACACCTTCAACCGGGCCAATGACCTTACTGAGAAAGAGCCAAGACACGGTGGATGTGTGGGAACTGCGCAAAAGATGTGTACCTTGCTCCAGATTTTTGGCATCATCGGGTCGCTGGTACAAATAATACTTTCCGCCCAAACCTGGAAGGATCGGAGTAAGCTTGTTTTGAGTGAATCACAAAGATCAACCGGCTAGCCCTGCATCCGAACCCAATCCCAAGGAAGAATCTTAAAGCCTTTTGTTTCCAACTGTGCTGGGTGTTCGGCCCCGACTTTAGGGTTTGGGCTTCTTCTTGACCAAGCGCTTGATACGACATCACGGGGCTTGTGGGGTCGGGCTTCGAACCCCAGAATGGCATGCCAAGATCTTTGCAAGTTTCAGTGCAACGCGTCCTACGCGCCACAGCATGGCTCGGAGGAGTTCTGCTGAAATACGGATATATAGATCAAATGAAAGGACCTTGACAAAGGAAAGAAGGAGCTCAGCTATACGCCGAAGTTGCGCAGAGTGATGACTCGGAAAATCCGCCAGGTGGTGAAACAGGATATTCCACTGCGTTAAACCTTCTCAAGTCACTGTGAAGCCTTCTGAGCCTTCCGCTGGTACCAATATTTCCGTGATTCCAAGGGCGCAAAGGCGAAAGGAGGATGCGGATGCCTCAGTGATTGGCAGCCTGCATTTCTGGTTCATGAATCGCTATCCAGGGGTCTGGTGGCTACGGTGTTGGTTGGTTTTGGGGTGTTGTCTCTGTTGTTGATGCATGTAGCGTAGCATGCACATTCCCAACCCTCCAGATTCCAAGCCGTGCAACATTAAACCTTCGAAAATGATGCTTTCCAAATGGAGCTCCCCAAACCCCATCCGCATTTCAATGGAGCAAGTTTGCGCAGGATCTCCTGCAGCCTGCAGCCTGCATGTGCAAATTCTTCAGGGCCCATCTGGCGCTCTTGAAAGGTTGCTTTTAACAATGTTGGGCGCGTTGGAATCGGGAGAGGGAACGACAAGGAACCATGACTACGAATGCATTTGTGCCTTGACTTCTTCGGAGCCTCGCTTACATGACGCAGGCCATTTTCGTAGGGGCTTTTACCGATGCACACACCCCAGATACATCCACCAACACCACCAGCATCAACACCACCAACACCGACACCACCAAAACCAACACCACCAACGCCAACACAGCGGCGGCGGCGGCAGCAAGAGCAGCAAGAGCAGCAAGAGCAGCAAGAGCAGCAAGAGCAGCAAGAGCAGCAAGAGCAGCAAGAGCAGCAAGAGCAGCAAGAGCGGAAAGAGCAACAACAGCAGCAAAGGCAGCAACAGCAACAGTAGGTCTATTGTGGCATCTGCTCATTCCTGACTCGCTAGAGACTCCCGAGTGACCTCAAGTGCCTCACCGGTGCAACGTAGGGCTTGACAATGTGGAAACTAAACTTCTTAAGAACTTAACATCTCTGATCTGCATTGAAGGTGACCGGAAAATTCGCACTTTTCCTCAGACACCACACCCCAACCAAAACTCCACTCAAGTACCGGAAACTTGAAACTTCAAACCTTCGAAACCCACCGCAGCTGCATTGGCCAAGAGGCCTCACGGACACGTCGCATCCTAACTGACGGTCGCAGCCAGGGCTCACCTTATGGGAAGAGCGATTCAGCACTTGGTTAGGTGTCGAGCTCTGATGGGAAGGAAAGCTCCACGTTGATGCCCCTCTGCCTTCCGGATTTGGAAGGTCTGTGAATGTAGATCTTTGTGCGTCCCGATTGACACTCTTGTGCAAGATCCAATGTTCTGCTCAAGTTAAGCATGCGCAGGCAACATTTGAAACAAGCACGTAAATACAACTATACACCAAGTAAAACAAGGGCTGAGGATGTGGGACTCGCAAGCACAGCGAACAAAGAAAATAGGAAAGGCATCGGCCAGCCCGCACCGCACAACCAAGGCTTCAGTGCGGTCATGCGGCCCTGCCAAGCCCCCATGAAACCCCCCGAAGCTGCAACGAGTTTCTAAGCCCTAAGCCTGCCAAGGCTGCAACGAGTTTCTAGCCCTAACCCGGCGCGGGTTGCAGCCCCTGCCAAGCCCCCCCGAAACCACCCGAAGCAGCAACGAGTTTCTAAGCCCTAAGCCGGCGCGGGTGCCAGCCCGCACCCCCTGCCAAGCCACCTTGAAACCCCTCGGCCTCGTAGCTGCAACGAGTTTCGAAGCGCGCAGGGGGTGCCAAGCCCCCTGAAACCCCCGCCCTGAATCGGTGCGGGTTGCCAGCCCGCACCCCTGCCAAGCCGCCGTGGGTTGCCAGCCCGCACCCCCGTGCCAAGCCGCCCAGCAACGATTTTCTAAGCCCTAAGCCCGCATCGGGTCGCACCCCCTGCCAAGGCCCCCTGAAACCCCCCGAAGCTGCAACGAGTTTCTATGCCCTGAGTCGGTGCGGGTGGCCAAGCCCTGAACCCCCCCGAAGCTTGGCAGGCGGTGCTGGCTGGCCACCCGCGCCGGCTCAGGGCTTAGAAATTCGTTGCTGGGCGGCTTGGCAGGGGGTGCGGGCAAGCAGTGCATGGGAGACACCCGCTATTGCAGCATGCAGGTTCTGACACAATACAATGCGGCACTTACCTGCACCGTCAAGGCGCCAGTTTGAAACTGTGCACAGTGGGTTTCACCTCAATAGAGTACAGCCTACAAACTCTAAAGGCAATATTCGTGTCGATAATGATAATTCCACCCAGCTGTATCCGAAGCAGTGCGTAGGCTAGATGGGTCTCGTGCTAGCGGCTACATCAACAAAGCCACAACAGGATTCGGGGCCGGCAGGGCCAAAGATGCTTTGTTGCAACCCGCAGAAACCAGAAGCTTTATGGAAGAAAATTTCGGCTCGTTCAACATTGAAATTTGCCGCATCACAAATTGCCCCCCCCCCCCCCCACCTCCCCCTCAGGGAAACTTCGAGCAACTGATTTAGAAGCTCTGCTGTTTGAAAAGGGTCGGTGTCAATGTTCATTTCAGAGTCTTTGCAACTCGTCATTGAAATCAAGCGTCGGGTTTGGAGCTCATGGTGCTGAATCGAAAAAATTCAAGCGAGCCAGCTTCAAACTATTTTGCTATGTGCTTTGCAGGCGAAAGGGGTGGCGTTCAAAGCTGCACGAGACATCCCGTCGAAGGCCAAAACATGCAGACAGAAATGACCAGCCCTTGCACACCTCCTCGTCGAGAGCCCGTGGAGGACATCGTGTTTCGAATCGTTTTGGAAAATTGTCTCTCTCACTCTTGAAGTCAAATGCAACCAGCTGTGTCCAGTGAAGAAACGGAGTCCACAGAATGTCTTCGAAACATCGGGGCTTTACAACACCCGATCGCCTCATGCAAAAAGAGAAGTGCTGCTTGTCAATCTTGTTTCGACTGCGTCCACATTGATGCACAAATTGAGTTCAAGCACGTCAAGATGGAGATGGAAGAATATAGAAGACGCTTGGGGCAAAGTACCAGCTGAAATCAAGAAGGTATTAACTATGTATTAACTGCTTGGATGAGTAAGAAGGAAAGGTAAACAAAGCAAACCAGGTCCAACATGATGGTTTCTGGGCCGAGGAGTATGCAGCGACTTTGTGGTCGACAAAGAAAGAAGTGGTTGGCGCTACCCTCGACCATGATCGCGGCCCCATCGTCCGGCAAAAAAAGGCATCGCGCGGAAGGATCTCTTCCCAGCAGCCGCAAAAAAGTTTTGAAGCTGTGCGGTTCCTGCGCAGCATTTTGCCAGCACCTCAGTTTTTGCAGATAACGCTGATGCTCGGCTGTCATCGGGGATTTGATACCGCTTCAGCAGGGTGAAGAGGTTTTGGCGCTCCGTGATGGCCCAACTTCAAGTTTGCAAGTGTTCGGCCCCGGAGGCCACATATCCAACCAAAGGTCGAAGGTAGCGAAATGTAGCAGTCGGAACATCTTCTGAAAGTCCATGTCTGGGTGTGGCGTCAAGATCTGGTGACCCTTTTGCTGCTCGGAGATCAAGGGAAAAACGGAGACAAAACTCAGACTGCTGTGGTGCCTTCGTTCCAGCCGAGTTCTATCCTTCGCTCCTGAGCAATGGAGCAACCTCTCGCCTCCAAAGCAAACTGCTGTGAGCGGTTCCATCAGCACATGTAGTTTGAGGTCAAGGCCTAGGGTTTCCGGGCCATTTGAGGCCTTTGCCTTTAAGGGAACGTGCGTCACCAACCTCGTCGCACGCACGGGTTCACATTTGCATTCTGCCGCAGACACCCAAATCACAAAGCACACCCAATACCCTGATGATGAGCATTCCTGCCTATGAACCAGCGAGGATATGCCCAGGTAGTTGCTCCACCCTCCCAGCCTTGATGTGTCCGAGGGGCGTCCCAGTAGATGGATGTTGTGGCGCCCAGATTGCCCTGCTCAATGCGCGCAATGGTCAAGCTTCAGGCTAAGTAAGTACAGTACGGGTCGCTGGTGTGCTCGGACTTGACGGACACGAAGGGTCGAAGAGGTTACCCAACATCGTGCGTTTAGCGTCCGCAAGCGTCCGCGAGCGTCCGCGAGCGTCCGCGAGCGTCCGCGAGCGTCCTCAAGCACGCGCAAGCGTCCGCAAGGATTCGTGAGCGTACGCGAGCGTTCGCGCATGGGCTGCATGTCGTCGTCACTTTGGGAGGTTGAGGCCTGAACAATCACGACAATCGGATGGGGTGTGCCATCCTAGTAACTGTCTCACCTCTGGAGGACTCTGAGGGGTTTGAAGCAGCTTTTTAGGGTGTTGGGGGGCCTCGACTGTGCTGACGCGGAGGATGAACGGCTTCATGTTTTGACAACTTCAAGAGTTGCTTTTGGAGCCGTGGTTCAGCGTTGGAGCGTTCAGGGAGGAGGGGGCCAGGTCGGATTCAATATTGTTCGATTCGAGAGAGGAAGAGGGACAGCAAGAGGAGAAAGAGACCGAGAAAGAGATAGAGGGAGATAGAGGGAGAGGGGGGAGGGAGAGAGAGAGAGCGGGAGAGAGAGAGAGGATTCGTTGTGCTGAAAGGAATGTTCTCTCAGGACAGCTCGCTGCATATGTTACAGGCGGCAGCATGACTGTGCTGCATAGACGACGAACAATTAATATTTCCCAAGGTGACGAGAAAACCGAAACAGAGAAAGATAAAGATATGGCTACAGAGAGAGAGAGACAGGGAGGGAGAGAGAGAGAGAGAGAGAGACAGAGAGAGAGAGAGAGGGAAACAGATACAAGGAGATAGAGAAAGTGAGAGAAGATAGAAAGCGGCATCCGCGTCGGTTAGATTCGCCATGTCTGCATTCGGGTTCGTTAAGAAGGGAAGCGACTTCCCAATTCGACGCCTGCACTGTATTTACCTTCGCTGAGCGTATTGGTGAAGCTCCGGCATTCAAGCAGTGACCCAGTGGAAACTTCGAATCCCCAGAGCGCCCACCACTTCATGCAACACGGTTTGTCAGATACCCACACACACAGAGAACTCTTTCGTGGTCAAGCCTTTCTACTCCGAACACCAAAGAAGCCCTGCCAAGCTGCCATAGGAAGCGAATGCCCCCGAGTGTTTCTAAGATTCTAAGACCGTCTAGGCCAATATAGCCCTTGCGCAGTGTAGAGGAAGCTTGCAAACCTTAAAAGAGCCGCCTCTGCGTCAAAGACCAGTCGCAGCGCCCAGTCCCGCGAGGGTAGAAGCAGCGGGATGGCCATCGAATAAAACTCGAAGAAAGCCTACCAGGGAGGCGTCGGGTGCCGCAGATTGTACATAGGGGTATCGGATTTTTAAGGCGACCTACATGGAGGCACAGCCTGCGAGTTTCAGCTCGTTTCAGAAAACGTGGCCCCCGCAAGCCCATACGCCTGGACCACAGTATGTGGCAAGGCTCAGCCTTTTCTGAATCAGCTACCGCGGACAACCAATCCTGCAAGAAAACCGAGAAAGGCCGCGGGGCGGAAGCAAGCACATGCGAGGAGAATCCCAACCCTTTTGTGTTTTGCGCGGCCGTTTAGGGATTGGGTTTGTGCCTGAGTGCTTCTGCATGCACAAGAAGCATGAGCATGGGGGTCACCGACTTTTTTTGGGGGGGGGGGGGGGGGGGGGGGGGGGGGGGGGGTCTGGGGACCTCTATTGGGGGCTTCAAGGGGTCTGGGGGCTTCTAGGGGTCAAGCCCACCAACCCACCGTAGAGTTGGCTGAATCCTAAGGGGCCTTTTCTAAGGATCTGAATTGCAAACACTTCAACAATACCTTCAAACACTCTTATGGCCATAGCGGCCTGAGGATAGACGATAGACAAGCACCTCGCCTGGAAGCAGGTGGCCCCAACAAAACTCAACAAAACTCCTTGAATGGAAGCCCTCCTTGCAAACCAAAGTGGCCATCAGCGCGTGCTCCCATGGAAGCAGGACAACTGCCTCGGGTTCCAGGGGCGTTTGGAACTTACACCAACCTGGTAGAAGAAGCTCAGGACTTCGAGGTGGAACTTGCACAGCTTGAAACATTCCAAGTGGACTGACAGTACCGGGCTTCAATGTAAGCATCCAGACCTCAAAAACCAAAACATCCACAACTTTTAGTGTCTGTCGGGCGAACGAAATTGTACTGGTTGCTGAGTTAACAGCCCTTGCCTCAGCTAGTTGGTAAAGGCTTTCAGCTTTCATACGGCAAGGGTTCTTCGCCGTGTGGAACGGCGAAACATGAAACAAGAAAACGACTGCTGGGGAACAACACAGCACAGAATGATGATTCTGCGACGAGTTGAAAATCAGACCACATATACACATGCGCGCGCACACACACACACACCAATTTGGCTCCCGGGCCCAAGAAAAGCACCCCTGAAGCAAAACATTCTAAAAAGTACGAGGTCAGGGGCACAACGGACGCAAGCAACGCAAGCAACGCATGGCAGCAACGCACGCAAGGCTTCAGAAGCTTCTGATCAGAGGCGTCCACCCGGTGGGAGGCCATCTCCTGGAAACTCAACCTGCAACTTGGGTTCCATGATGTTCCATGTATAGGTCTTTCAGGTGCAGGGTTTCGGGTTTGGAGCGGTTCTGGAACTTGGAGGTTGAGCTCTTGGGTGTGTGCGCTGCTTTCAGGGGTATCCTTGCCTTCCTGATGAGCTCGAGAGTCTTGGAAGGTAGTACAAGTGTAAAGTTCCGTGCAATCGACTGCGCAGGTGGCAAGCCAGGCATGGCGAGTTTGGCGCGGAGCCCGAGCCTTGAACCTCGAAGAATGGCACAGACTCGTGTCCTGGACCCCCGCAAGCCGACTGAGCACCAGGCTTTGAGTCCGAGTTGGCCACGTTAAACTTTATTGGGTACCTGAGGTTGGGCATCCAAGGTTGGGCATCCAATTCAATTTGGGATGCTTATGGCCGTGCTTGGGGCTTCGTGGCTTGGTTAAGCAAGGCTTTGTGAGTTGGACTTGGTTAGGCATACAAGCAATGCTTCGCAAACTCCAAATCAAGAGCCATCGGCCATTCTCGGATAGTTGGATGTCTGATTTCGCTAGCTCTGGCATGAACGAGGATTTGCTGACTACGGCCATGGCGGTCGTTGGTTTGCAAATTCGGCTTTGTGTTTGTTTTGCTTCGGCTGCGCTGTCTGCAGACTTTGTTGGTTGACATAGGCCTGGATTTGCTGAATCCTTCTGCTCTCTCATCTCGGTCTCCTGCTCTTTTCCGCACTCGTCCTCGCAAAACATGAGGACGTACTTTCCTTCGTTTTGGGGCTCTTCAGCGTCGCTTCGTGCGTCTGCTCTGAGAGATCTACATTCCGCGGTACTCGAAATTGCGCTCCCAACCCATTGAAACGAGTCAGCACGAGGAAAAATGCTCGATTCGGTGTTTGTGCCTTCGTACCAGAGTACTCCACACTGTGCATGATGTTTCTGAATCATGGTTAATGGCATGTATGTCTGACATCATATTTGTTAATTCCAGCATGCGGATGCCGGAAACCTTCAAACCCGGAGAAGGCTGAAAACCATGACTTCAGTCGGCAGCCTCATCCTTCAATTACAGAGGGCACTGCTCGTCCATGAAGCGCTGCAGCGCGCAATCCAGCGTCACCCACAGAAACTTCGTGCGAGACACCTGACGACCCCCCGTGCCAGACACAGACACAGTTCTACCCAAATACTACTGACTTGTGCATTTTGAAGGCACGTGAAACGAAGAACAATGAAGTGCAACACATAACAAAGAAGTGTGACGAAGTGAGACGCGTGAAAACGAGTGCACATGAAATAGCATGCAATTGACAAGTTGCTGCATCAAAGGCCGATCAGGAAAAAGTGTCAGTCGTCAATGCGTGAAAGACATCAACGAGTCTTGTAGTCATGCTTTGATGGATTTCGCACGGCTTCGTTTGCTCTTGCGTCGCTTGATCTTCGGGTCCGGCATTTCTGATTCAGGCTTTGATCTCAGGACTCGTACTTGCTCGCATTAAACTCTCATCTTTGCAACCTGGGTGGAGCAACCTACAGAAGAACATGTGCGCAGAGGAAGTCGCTGGTCGGACAGTGTAAGCCCTTCGAAATCTATGCCTATGCCAAGATCCCCAAAATCCCAAACATCCAACAATCCCAAAGATCCCCACAAAAAAACCCCACAAAACAAACATCCCAAAGATCCCAAAGATCCCCAAAAACCGAAGAACCCAAAAATCCCAAAGAGCCCGAAAAATTCCAAAGATCCCCAAAATCCCAAAAATCCAACAAGTCCAAAAATTCCCAAAAACCCAAGTAATCCCCAAAAATCCCCAAAAACCCCAAAATCCAAACCCAGAGCGCTTGGAAGGCAAGGGCCGGGCCAGCATCGCTTCCAGCGGCTTGGTTGGGGTCTTGGCAGGCTCTAAGGGTTCAACGCAGCTTTTGGGCTGCAGGCTTTGCCTGCATGGATGAAGTCGAAAGTCTAGAGCAAGTCTAGGGCAAGTCTAGCTCAAGTGCAGGGCAAGTGCCGGGCAAGTGTAGGCCAAGTGCCGGGCAAGTGTAGAGAAGTCCAGGACTAGTTGAGTCAACGATGGTGAGCTTTCAGGTTTACCAGTTTAGCATTCTGCGGCTCAAGGGTTTGGGGCTGCGATGGAGAATCTTCACACCGATTTGTCATTCGTAACTTCAGTTGCCACCTGAACCGGAGAGGCTCTCAGAGGCAAACCTCAGCTTTAGGACATTCTGTTGTTTCCTTTTTTCGTACCCGACAACTACTGGCTGGTTCTTAGTGGGGAATGAGGGAATGAGGTACACTATATAACCCCTTAAAGGGTATATATACGGCCCTCATTCCCTCATTCCCTACTAAGAACCAGGGGGACTAAGGAATGAAAGGGTTGCATACTCCGAACCCCTGAACCAGCAACCGGCACTTGAACATGCCCTGGCCACAAAGCCCCGGGCGTAAACTGCATTGGTAAACCTGGCGGCAGGGGCTTTCAAGCCCGTGGGTGCAATGCAAGGGAATCCGCGCAGAAGGTTTGCAGGGGGCTGCATTGGCGTTGCGTATGCACTTCTGCATTACAAACTGAATGAATGCAAAAGTCTATATGTACAGACTTATCTCTACACACATATATAATATGTATATATATACATATGTATACATATGTTGTACGCCCCCTTGAGAATCGTGGAGGTCGTACGATGTCTGCAAGCCTGCAATCTTCATTCTTTAACTCCAGATGGTTTGGGAGTCATAGTAGCTGTCCTTCGGCATTCATAGTCTTATTTCTAATGCAGTATGTGCACAAGGTATGTTTTCGTACTTAACGTCGGTTGGAAAAGATTTGGTTTCCTTTTCAATCATGTATTGCTTATAAGCATGTGGGTTGCTTATCAGCAGTGAGGGAGGCTGCCAGCTTAGACAAAACATGATGGAACTCCACCGCCAAAGAAACAAAAAAGGAACAAGGCCCGTAGTATCTCGTTTTGGCCTACGTAATGATTCTCTTCTAACTGAAGTATAATATCAACCGGCTGGCCCCTAAAGTAAGTTAAACAAATGTTCATTGCATTCTGCAATGGAACCTATCAAAATGCTCTCAAATCAACTAGGCATCTTTTTTAAGTTTCAGGCCTGAACTGATGAGAGCACCAAACGGCCGTTTCATATTACAATCAGAAACGGGGCCAGCAGCTACTTCCATCATTTGATGTATGACAACAAAACAAGTGAAGCTACGAATGAGGATTCAAATTAGCTTTTCATAGCTTTTCGCTTTGAGCGCCCAAGCTCATTTGGCACACCGGTTGTCCCAGTAGCTGTCCTTCATGAAACCGTCTACGTAGCCGACCGGAAGTTCTCTGGAGCCGGAACGGCTGCCAGGCGCTTCCGTTGCGATCCCCGGAAAAACACAAACGATTTACACTCGATGGCTTTCGCTCCTTCAACAAAAAGTATAAGAGACCCCCTTGCTTTTCACCAAGGCTACAATATTTCCTAACTCCGAGCTCCGAGAGAGCAAGCCGTTTTCCTGTTAATAGGAAAGCTACCTCTTCGAAAGGAACGAGAAAGCTCCACTACCTAATAGCAGAACGTTCTTAAATAGATTAGATGCTGCTCACGTTTGTTTACCCCATATCAAGCAAGCACAACAAGAGATCAGTAAGACATTAATTCAGTTTGACACTGATTGAATCTCTGCTTGATTCGGAAACATGGTCAGTTCTCTAAATTATGCTCCCTTATTGGGTACCCTAAATAGGAGGGGCCCCCTTGTAAGAAGGACCCCAAAAAACCGGATTGTTGCGAGGCGGCGTTGCCCGCGGCCGCGGGGGGGGGGCCGGGCCTCGGAAGGCGCCGGGCCGCGCAACAATCCGCCCATTACACGCTGCAAAGCAGATAATGACTGACATTCTTGGAAATATTCGTTGAAGAGCAGGCATGCTTTCACTTACAATTCCATGAACTGTTTTTGGTTGACATATTCATCGGCAAGTACTCTTTTTAAAAGCATGCGTAGACAATACTTTCACCTCCTTTTCTTCCTAACAAAAGCCACCTCAGGCTCTTGATATGAGTGAAGAGCGCCTCCGCTGCTTTTACCTGACCTCTTAGCAGGGATGAACATTTCTATTTTAATGGCAAGGAGAAAGTTCCTCTGCCACATGCCAGGAAATCAAAAGGCTTCTCTCGCTGTCTAAAGTTACAGGGCAACAAGCGGGAGCTCCGAAATATGTGCCTCTCGGATTCGGGATCTGCCTGGTTTCAAACTTTTCGTAGTAGAAATAGTGAAGAGCACACCTCTCTGAGTCTTGATATGAAGGAGCTCTTTTGCTGACTTCTTGTAATAATTCCGAGAGGAGAGTTTGGTTTTCCCCGAGGGGTCGAAATTCCCTGACCCCATAGATAGAATGTGTCTGGGGAGCATTTCTCGAATCTGGATGGCTTCAGGACTGGCGGGCGCCGCAGTTCATGCTTCAATGCCCACAGCCTAGATCCAATATTCTATCCCACTGTGGGGCCGGTTCCGTTGCATGGCCGCCGCCTTGGGGGGGGGGGCAACTCCACATAAACTTCAAGCCCAGAAGGATTGATTTTCAATAAAGGGCTCCTGTTGGAATGCCCTTGTCCAAGACTCTTAGATTTTCCAGGTTTCTGGCGGCTGCGGCCTCCCGAACGGAGGGGAGCCCCGCGAAAGGCAGGAAAGCTTGATGCGTCAATGCTTCTATTGTCATGGGGTCGGTTACCGTTTTGGGGGTTGGTGCTGTTGGTGGGTTCCTAATTCCTAAGCCCAAGATTCTATCTATGGGGTCGGTTCCATTGTGTGGCCGCCACCTCCTAGGCCATGGAGGAACCCCACATTGACTTAAGTCCCAACATGACCGACTTTGCACGAAACGCTCCTGTCGGAAACGTCTTCCAAGACGTCTGGATTCTGTCTGAAACCCGAAGGTGGAGCTGGATGGCAAAAGTCCACTGCAGAAAGAAGTGCTTTTCTTTATGTGTTTTAGGCGTGTTTGGGGTCTTTGGGTGGGCTTCCTGGTGGATTCCGGGGGTTGCCTGCAGCATGCTTGGCCGAACCCATGAATAGACTAGAATATTTCATATTCTACCTATGGGTTCGACCATGCCCGAGGCATGTTCTACGCTTCGGGTTACAGACGAATTATATATGTTACGCGCGATTTCTCAAGTACACAAATACTCGTGTGATGTTAACTTAAAATGAACGAAATCTTGGCTCCACGCTCGCATTACCAAAGAAACAAATTGAACAGCCCAAACGGAATGGATTCCTTTCTCCCTCGGCATGTTGGACCACTAAACATTATCTAGAATTTGAAGTGTGCATTGAGCATACCACTACAGCACGAGAAGAGGGAAAACTGGTCTCGCTGGCGGAAAAGCACAAAGCTAAAGCTCAGGCGCCAGATATTGGAACTAAAGCTCAGGCGCCAGATATTGGAACGCTTGCTGTGATGCAGGTTGGGTGGGCGATGACGAGAACCGTCGCCCCTTTTCGGGATCTTTTTTCGCGCAAACTTTTTGAATCAGCCTAAGTCCTGCCGAGACTCCTACAACATTCCGTGCCTGGCATGCGGTCGCACAACTGGAAGCAAAGCACGCGGCGCCTGCGAAGGTATTTCAGGCTTCATTCAGTTTCTCGGCTGGACTCTCAGTCCATCAAAACATCAACAGTCAGATCTACTATCATGAGGCGCTGAATAGCAAGGCTGCCCTCAACGCGGCATTCCCTGCGGGGCAGAGAAGTGTGTATTTGCTTTCGATTTGGGCGGGCAAGGGACGAGGCCGTGAGGGGCGTTTAGGGCTTCAGGGTTTCTAGGTTGCTTTATGGCTTTAGGACTTTCGGGGCCTTAGCGTTTTTGGTTTTCAGGGTTTTGGGCGCTTAGGGCTATAGGGTCAAAAGGTTTGCTCCAACCCCACAAGTCCCCCCCGAACGAAAGAAGCGCCAAGAACAAACATACCCCCCTCCCATAGTTGCTGTTTTCCACATAACCAGACTTCGTGATCCTTTAGGATCCGAAACGCGCAGGGTCTCCTGCCCCGATCCTTCAACCCTTCACTCATACCTGCAAACATGAGCACGCAAGGCCTGAAAGGCAATCTGCTCGGTGAGAACTGGGTTGTTTGTTGCGAGAACCTTTGCTTTCAAATACAGCGGTTCAGAATGTTTTGGTGAGTTTGGGACGTGTGCCCTACAAATAAAGAATCATCAACACTTTACACACCTTCAACCCTTGGGTCAGCCTCAAAGGCTGCCCAACGCTGGTGCACTAGGTACCTTTCCATGCCTTAGTTCTACACCCCAAGTTCAGCCTCAAACCTTTGCACTTCATACGCCAGTCCGGCGACGCTCGGGCCCATGCCACCTGCGGGCTTTGCAAGAGATGCTGCAACAACTCCCAGAACCTCAGCAGAGAACATCAGAGAACTCTCCAAAACAACTCAATGCTCTCGGCTTAGACACGTACAGGTGACACTCGAAGACATCCTCAGCACTGGACTCGGCACGGGCGGTAGCGTTGTCGAAGTGGTCCGTTGGCCGCTTCCAAAGCAATGGCAATCCTTCTGTGCTCTTCAAGCATCGGTCAGGGTTTAGGGCCGGCTGCTGCAATGTGCCCGGAGAGCTGAACGCCACACGAATCTTGGCAAAGAAGTCAAAGCACACGAGCATCAAAACCATACACCAGTAAATGAAATTGTCGTCCCTGATGTCAAAGCAAACTGCTGCTCTGAGTTTTTTGAGCTCGGTCGCAAACTGTTCGAAAACAACTTGCTCTGTTCTGAGCAAGACCATCGCGGCTAGACACTTCTTGCCTGGGAGCTCGAGCTTCCTCTAGCATCCTCCAGGGCTCTCCTGTACCAGACGAGGGGGCTGCCACGCTCCTCTATTCGGCGCAGCTCTGGGCTTCGCCTTTGCCGTAGGAGGAGCAGCAGCAACCTTGGATAGCAGTCTCTTTCGCCAGACCATCAACCGTTTCAGATAGCAATGTACACGTGATCAAAAAATTCTCAATGAGAGCAAGAATCCTTTGCTCTGGAAGCCCAGTCAGGGTTGCTCTCAATCTGGCATTTAACGTTTTGGTTTGATGCTTGCTATTGGTGGCAAGGCTCAATGAAGAGAGCGCGTAAGTCTTTTGAAACCCTGGCCTGGGAGCTCCTCTTACCAGAGGGGCCAGACCTGTCGGAGCCATTTTTTCTTCCTCAGACCCAGACCATGAAGAATCAGAAGACATGGCTGAGGAGGAAGAGGAGCTGCAGAAGCTAGTTGCTCCAGCCCGAACGCAATCAGATCCGCTGCAGTGCACACGGATTCAGTGTTTGGGGCTCCCCAATTGCCTGCTGACTTGCAACTTGTAGTCAGGCTTCGGTTTAAAATTCATTCCAACTACATGTCACGGCGGCCGTGTGCAATCATTTCTTGTCACTGCCTCCCTGCGTCAGGCTTGGCCACACCCTCGTGTTGTTACCGTAGCCCGGCTCAACATGACTCAGGGGCAAAACCCAAAAAGCGCCTGCAGCTAGAAACAACAAGAAGACCTAGAAGACCTCTTATGCTCTGGCCGTCAGACATTGGGAGGCTCACTCCAGCAGCCCAAGGCAGCGCCGGCTTCGGAGGAGGACACGGAGGCTGTCCGAGGTCCGCTCCTGCTGCGATGGGCCGCTGGCCCGTTGAGCGGTTAAAACTGGGAAAAGGTTGTTCTCCGTTCTCTGTTCTCCGTTCTCTGTTCTCCGTTCTACGTTCTCTGTTCTCTGTTCTCTGTCCTCTGCCTCTTCTTCTTATTATTATTCTTGTTATTCCTCCTCTTCTTCCTTGCCCTTCTCCTTCTCTTTATCCTTCTCCTTCTCCTTCTTCTTCTTCTTATTCTTGTTCTTCTTCTGCTTCTTCTTCTTATTATTCTTCTTCTTCTTCTTCCTCTTCTTCTTCCTCTTCCTCTTCCTCTTCTTCTTCTTCTTCTTCTTCTTCTTCTTCTTCTTCTTCTTCTTCTTCTTCTTCCTTCTTCTTTCCTTCTTCTTCTTCTTCTTCTTCTTCTGCTTGGGCTTTCTGTCCCTCCTTTCCCCTCTCCTTCTCTCGCTGTCCCCTCTCTCTCTTCTCTCTCTGCGCCCCCCCAAAGGGATCCGCCCCCAGGGGCCGCGCGATGTCCGAAGCTCTCTGTCCCTCCTCTGTTTTCTTTGTCCCACTCCCTTCGCTCTCTGGCTCTCTGGCTCTCTTGCACTCTCGCTCATCGGTCCGCTTCTCGCGCTCTCTCCTCCTCTCTCTGCCTCTCCCTCTCTCCCTGTCCTCCCTCTCTCCCTCTCTCCCTCTCTCCTCCCGCTCTCTCCCCTCTTTCTCCTCTTTCTCCCTCTTTCTCCCCTCTTTCTCTTTCTTCTCCCATCTTTCTCCCCTCTTTCTCACACTTTCTTTCTCTTCTCCTCCCCTCTTTCCCACCTCTTTCTCCCTCTTTTCTCTCCCTCTGGGTTTCTCTCCCTCCCCCTCTTTCCTCCCTCTTTCCTCCACTCTTCTCCCTCTCTCCCTTCCTCTTCTCTCCCTCTCTCTCCCTCTCTCTCCCTCTCGCCCCTCCTCTCCCTCTCCCTCTCTCACCTCTCTCCCTCTCTCCCTCTCTCCCTCTCTCACCTCTCTCATCCCTCTCTGCTTCCTCCCTCTCTCCCTCTCTCCTCTCTCCTCGTCTTCCCTCTCTCCCTCCTCTCCCTCTCTCCCTCTCTCCTCACCTCTCCTCCTCCCTCTCTCTGTCCTCTCCCTCTCCTCCCTCTCTCACCTCTCTCCCTCTCTCCCTCTCCTCCCTCTCTCCCTCTCCCCTCCCTCTCTCCATCTCTCTCCCCCTCTCCCCCTCCCCCTCTCCCTCTCCTATCTCTCCCTCCATCTCCCAATCTTTCCTTCTCCCCTCTCCCCTCCCTCCTTCTCCTCCCCCCTCTCCTTTCCTCCCCCCTCTGCCCCTCCACCCTCTCTCCTCTTCTCCCCCCTCTCATCCCTCATCTCGTCTGTCTTGTCTCTCCCTCTCCTCCTCTCCCTCTCTCTCGCTCTACCCTCTCTCCCCTCTCTCACTCCTCCCCTCTCTCCCCTCTCCCTCTCTTCCTCCCCTCTCCTCCCCTCTGCTCCCCTCTCCTCCCCCTCTCTCATCTCATCCCCCTCCCCTCCTCCTCTCTCTCCCTCTCTCCCTCTCTCCCCCTCTCTCTCTCCCTCTTCCCTCTCTTCTCTCTCCCTCTCTCTCTCTCTCCTCCGTTCTCCCTCTCTCCTCGTCTCCCTCTCTCCCCGCTCCCTCTCCTCCCTCCTCTCCCTCCTCCCTCTCTTCCCTCTCGTCCCTTCTCTCCCTCTCTCCCTCGCTCCCTCTCCCCCTCTCTCCCTCTCTCCCTCTCCCTCTCTCTCTCTCACTCTCTCACTCTCTCTGCCTCTCTGCCTCTCTGCCTCTCTGCCTCTCTGCCTCTCTGCCTCTCTGCCTCTCTGCCTCTCTGTCTCTCTGTCTCTCTGTCTCTCTGTCTCTCTGTCTCTCTCCACTCGGCAGATGCCTCCCTAAACCCAAAAATCGCAAGGTGAGCCTCACAAACCCTTGTGCGGCTTTCATGAAGCTGCAGGGAATTTTAGAAGCCTACGCCACGCCCAGCAGAACCTCGTCGGCTCGGGCAAAACAAAGCTCCGGTGGGCGCCAACGCCTGAGGGACAAAGGCTACAAATCTAGCACAGGCGAATATTGATAATCGAGGCTGTAACTCTTGTTCTCGACGCGAGATCGAGCACTTCCTAAAGTTGCCGCCGAAGATCGACGAAGGCAGCAATAACAACTGCACTTGAACCGGGAATGAGACTGCGACTGAGCACCAGGCCGGCAGCCAGGCGACTGAATCTCGTGCCTGTCACGTGCTTAGGGACTCAGGGCCTTGTGGATCAGACAAGTTATGAGGATAGGTAGACTTTTTTCAAATGCTGTGTTCTCACATGCATATGACGCATGACACCGGGGAAATGGTACTTCAACTTGGTAGAAAAGTTAAGCCAATGAATCCCATGGAGCTACACATGCACCCGACTGTCTTTGCTGTCCCATGCGAGAGAGGGCCGCGGGGTGGACAGCCATGGAAGTAGGCGACCAATGAACAAAACATGTCGTTGTTCCTCATGCTGTCCGGCTTTGAAACCTGCATTGCGATTTTTGGTGCGTTTCAACTCATTCGGGCACATGTGACAGGACAACCGCTGGCAAGAATGTGGGAAAACAAAGTTCGGGGAACAACTATAACTCAAACAACTAGACCCTGAACTCTTTTGTGTGTTGACATGCCCGCTCACCGTCACTGACTCGCTACTCATGGAAACCAGCTTCCTGATGTCTGTGGAGACTACTGTAGTGCTGTAGGGGCCTGTTGCCAAAGTGCTCACACGTCTCCTGGGCAAGGCAAGTAACTCTGCCTTCCTATTCAATCCTATCGCCTGTCCGTCTTTCTTACTATCGTTCAATCTACGCCTTCTCATCTGCATGCGGAATCACGTTTCATTAGCTTCATGGGTCATTAAGTCTTTGTAGGAGACTCAGGCGAAACGTTTTTGGAACTCTGTAGGTCTTTTTGCAGTACAGGAGCTCTTTGTCTTCTACGAACAACATCAAATCATTCGCGTACTTCATGTAAGTATTGGTGTATTTCTCTTGTTCTCTATTTTCCTTTGCTTGCATTCATTGCTCGTGATTCTCTTGCAAAACCTTCTTTGTTGCACTTTAATTTTGCTTGATATATTGCCAGAGGTTTTCTCAAGCACGCCAACTCTTGCCCCCCCCCCGGTACGCGTACCGGCTGAACTTATCTTGTGCTTTCTATCACGCGAATTGCTGCGTACTGATCCCGTTATAGAAGTTTCAAGCTGCAAGTGCCCAGCAATGCCCACCGCCATGCCCAGCCCAAACCTTCAAACCCAAGGCCAAAGAGACCAGAGCACTGCTGCAGCTCAAGAAGACAAGTAGAAAAGAAGCACCTGTAACCTTCCAGGTCTCCGTGGCCAGTGTGGCGGTAGCCCTCCTGCAATTTGCATTCGGCATTACGCACAATAACTGGTTTATCCCGAGGTTGGGGACTTGGATCTCAGTTGGGCCTTCGGCCTGCAAGCACACTCAAACTGTTTCCTAAACTGGCAGTGTGATGTTTGTCCCCAGTACGCTACATGTCTACATGTTGGTGGAATTCGTTTGAGCGTACCGTGAGTAGGAACCAGTTCTGAAGCACAGTGTGAAACACTTGTGAATTCGTTTTGGCTTTTGCGCACTTCGTGGACTTCTGGCTCAAGTGAGCAGAGACGGAGTGTTAGTCCACAAGGCCTCGAGTCGAACAGTAAAAGGCCGTCTCGAATGTGACTTTGCTCAGTCGCTTGGGCAAACACAATCCTTGTCGTTCTCGCTTGTCGACAGCAACCGACAGCAACGCAAAACAGATAACAGCATGAGGGGCTTTGCCTTCAGAATCCAGTCGGGTTGTCTGATTTGCTTACTCCATGGGCGCAGTCAGATCATTCCACAGGTGGAGGCCAAGCTTGACGTTTCCATCTCAAGTGGGGAGGTTGTGGGCTTTGGGTCTGTGTTGCA